TCTCTCTCTCTCTCACACACACACACACACACACACACACACACACACACAGAGACACACTCACACACAGAGACACACTCACTCTCACACACACTGTTTTGAGTTCATTTCACACTGATTTCTGCTTCCAGCTCATGCTTTGATTTCCCGCTCAGCACCAGATTAACCGTAATCAATCAAGCCCTCGATCAGTTTGATATCAAGCGCTGGACTACTGATTGAGCTGATTTGCTCTGGATCTCTACGGTACGGTCAGAGGAGGAGGATGATCGAGCTTCATCACCCCCCTGTTACCCACGTGTCTCTAGTGCGCCTGCGGCTCGAGCTCATGCGGAGACACTCTGAGACTCATCTGAGATCAATCACCTGCACCAGGATCCGAGGACGCTGAGCGGACGGGAACGGGACGTTGTGCATGAAGCTCAAGATGTGCCTGCAGACAGATCACAAGATCACAGTTAACACGAGTCTCTCTAAACCTCCTCAACATGAGTATTCACTGCACACAACATCATGACTTCAATTCATTCCTGGGCTTGTGCAGAGACAAATGTCATGATTCCATTCGATTTCATTTAGATCTTGATTCAGTTCATCTCGATTTGTACAGTACATGTCATTTTTTTCCAAGGAATTTCTCTCAAATAATGCTCTAAATTGCAGTCCGTACATTATTATAGTGACGTAATCAAAAATTTGAATTGCAACTAAGGCAGTTTTTACATTAAAAAATGTGAATAACTTTTTAATTATACGTGACCCTGGAGCACAAAAGCAGTGTTAAGTCGCTGGGGTATATTTGTAGCAATAGCCAACAATACATTGTATGGGTCAAAATTATACATGTCTCTTTTATGCCAAAAATCATTAGGATATTAAGTAAAGATCATGTTCCATGAAGATATTTTGTACGTTTCCTACCGTAAATATATCAAAACTTAATTTTTGATTAGTAATATGCATTGCTAAAAACTTCATTTGGACAACTTTAAAGATGATTTTCTCAATATTTAGATTTTTTTGCACCCTCAGATTCCAGATTTTCAAATATTGTCCTATCCTAACAAACCATACATCAATGTTAAGCTTATTTATTCAGCTTTCAGATGATGCATAAATCTCAATTTAAAAAAATTGACCCTTATGACTGGTTTTGTGCTCCAGGGTCTCTTATAATTATGGTTATAATAATTGTTATTTTAAAGAAAAAAATATTTCAATACAATATAATGAATTCAACAACAGGTAAACAAGTCTTGCCTTTTTTCATTCAATATTCTTGCAAATGTCACATTACAGAAATGTAATGCGGGTTTCACACTGACTCTAAATCAAGAAAATATATCCTTTAAAATACAGTTCAGCCAAAAACTGCCAAGAATTCTGTCCTCATTCACTCATTCCAAACCGGTATGACTTTATTTCATCAGTGAAACACTAAAGAAGATATTTTACAGATCACTGACAAAATAATGGAAGTGTTGTTTCAGCCACAGAATAAAAAAATAAAAAAAGTAATTGTGACTGTATCTCATAATTCTGACTTTATTCCTGCAATTATGAGAAAAAATTCAGAACTGCTGGATATAAACTCAGAACTGTGAGTAAAAATGTAAAACTTGGAAGATAATAAGTAGAAATTAACTTTTTAATTTTTTATTCTGTGGTAGAAACAAATAAAAACAACTGTGAGACGCAGAATTCAGAGGGTTTATGTCTTTCAATTCTGTGTTGATATCTCACATTTCTGACTTTTTCTCAGAACTGTGAAAAACAAAGCCACGATTAAAAAAAAAAAGTTGCAATCACATTTTTTTTTAATTCCATTTCTGAAAATATCTTCTTTTGTGTACCAGTGTTCATTGTTTGACATTTAAAAAAAAATTGTTTCTGAACTCAAAAGAGTAAATACTACAACAAATAAAATCTCAAAAAGTCATAGAAGTTTTTTTTTTTATTACTATTATTAATTTGCTTACAGTACGTAAAAAAATATTTTAAAAAAATATTTTCAACATCCATCAACTGGATGATCAACTTAGTCAAGAAGATCAAGAACCCTGAAGAACGTTCGGCTCTAGAATCACAAAATTCATTTTTTTATTATTTTAACCTACAGACAGTTCAAGTTTTAGTAAATAAAAAACACTTCTATACAGAGATGCATAGATGGTCAAAAAGATGAATTAGAAAAAGCATCATTTCATCACTGATGTCACGTACATTGTTAGAAGTTAAATGCAGTAAAAATCTAGTTCATGAAGTTATCCCAATAAATGAACAAGTCTCAGCAAATAAAAAAAGCCGTCACACAGGTCTGAGTGTCGTGATCAGTGGTGTGTTCAGGTGTGAGCATCACTCACTTCTCCAGCGGCAGCACATGCGGTCCAGAGATGGAGTATCTGTAGATGAAGGTGAGGAACTTCTGGAAGACGCTGAAGAAGGGCCAGTGTGAGAGAACGCAGATGCTCTTCTTGACCTGAACGCTGCGGTTGGTGATGGGCCGCCGGTCCACGACGCTCAGCAGACCCAGACGCA